TTTAGTTAATGAACTAATTAGTAGAACATACTTACACAAGGTTTCATTAAGAATGCCTAAAACATGTTTTTCTTATCACTGAAAGATTGGGTGACTTAGTAGCTAGAGATGCTCATATGGGCGACCTTACTACTCTTGTAGCTCTCTTAATGTCGCTTATAACGATTGGTTACAATCTTTAGTTACAGTTGGGTCCTTTTACTCTAATCGACTCATTTGTGATGAACATAAATTCTTCTATAATTAGTGCTATAGGGTAGCTTTACTTTCTAGGTTGCATACAACTGATTGTATGATTGCTACTTATTTAATAATATTAACTTTGACTTTTTAAAAAAGAAAAATTGAACAAAGCAATAGACTCGCCATATCTCTATAAACAGTGGGACACAATTCAGACTGTTAGTGGTATCATACACTATTCAACAGAAATATTTACCATGAGGTTAACATGATGGATGAACGAGTGGTGGGTCCAGGTTCACATCAAGAGTGGTTCTTCCAGGGCAGGCATCTGCTTCTTCTGTCCTGAACTGTAATTCTTTTAGTGGCAAGCTCACAGTTGATATTTAAAGGAGGAATATAATTATAGACATGTTTTTATGATATGTGGCCCGAATGTTTGAAAAACAAGAAAAGAAGAAGGGTTATTGAAGTACCTTTTCTCTTTAACCAGCTGCTGTACTTGAACCTCCTTTCTTGCTTTTATATATTCCACAACAGGTAAAGGAGATTCTGGGATGATGCCAGCCAGCCCCTCGAATTTTTTGGTCTGGAGGAGAAGGTCTGGTGAATCAAAAGTCATCTAAGCAAAGGTGCCTCATCGATTATTATTCTTAATGGGACCCATCAGAAGAGATCTCACAAATCCAAAAGCATGGAAAGAAGATGAGAAGAATATGGCCTCAGGAATCAAAAAAAGAGAAACAAAAAGAACTTGTCACTATCCCACCAACGAACAAACAAGGGAAATTTAAATTAAAAATTTTTAAGTTGAGCACATTTACCTCTGAAAATGAGGTGAGCAATATGTCACTTATCAACAATAACAAGGATGACCCAGTACATGATAAATGTGGATTAATATTTTTTTCAAGCACATCAATCAGCAAATAGCACTAGTAAACCTCAGAATAGAAAAAGCCTAGCAGACAAGCGCAAATGGTCATTGACATTACCATGGAGGCCTGCCTGAAAAGGCTTGCACCTTCGTACCTCATTTATTATCACCCGGTCAGGTGGTAAATTCCTGAAGCAATTTTAGTGAGGAGAGGAGGTGCTACAAGTTCAATTCCAGGTCCCAGTTTCAATGGGAAATATTCATGAAGTTAATTTTTTTAAAAAAATGGCTTTCCGTTTAGCTGCTTCAGAACAGGTAATAGCTGGAAGCGTATAGTTATTGTTGTTTTATAATCCAAACAATATCAGCAGTTAGATATTGGCTATTTTGAAACAGTTAAACCAAACAGAGCTAAAGAAAGATGGAACAAGGAAAAAGAAACATACACACTTAAAAAAGCCCAGAGTCATCATGTATATCAAATTAATAGCAAATAACACCATTTGGTACCAAATCCAGTAAGGGTCCAAGTAGCAGACTGGCTCTTCAAATAAAACAGAAATAAAAGATCTGCTCTAGCAAAGTATAGACAGTTACAACATAAAACGTGGCGTGTCTCTTAATTTTCATAGAGGTCTCAAATTAACCCACTGTGGATTAGCTTCCAACTCGAACATGTTACACCATCATAATATTGCTTAAGCAGGGGCTACCTAACATATATCAAAATAATAGTCAATTGTTTTATCATCTCTTACAGTTAGCGTACCAAAATGTAATAGTCCACATCAACGAAGACCTATCGATAAATTAAGAGCTATAACATTTATGAAATCTGAAGATGGAACATGTGTTAATGGTAAATACAATATCAATTTTCAGAACCAATATAACTTGTAAAGTTGAATTCAGTTCAACTGTAATTCCTACATTTTCAGTCAAGGACATGTAGAAGTCATAAAGCAAATTTTAAAGTTCTACATCCTGCAGCCAAGTTCGTATTAGGGTTGTATGGCATCTGACGAGTAATGTAGGCATAACTTATAAGTGGTAAATATGATTGCTTTCTTCACCAAGTGCATAAATGTCAAATGCTTCATTAAGTGATGTCCAATTTCCAGAATCTATTAAGGCATAACATCTTTGTCAAGACCCCACGTCTTGATTGACAAAGACAAGTTAAAATCATTCAACAAACATTCTCTCAAATAATTCAGACAACTCATTTATGATCTAATGGTACAAGCTACATAAAATTTCCACTTGGGATGATATGACTCAACCCAAAGTACAAAATGGCTAAATGGCATGCCAAATAAAAGTCATTAAGATAGAAAATAGAAGAACTCCGGAAAATTACGGTAGAAAGAAAGAACAGCCTCATGAGTTAACATTGAGAACTCACTTCGAATTGATTTGCTAAAGCTTAAATTACCAGAGTGCAGCCTATCTTCAATAGTCATCAACATATAAATGGAAATGGAATTAGTTGGTTGCAACAGGAAACCTTGCTTTTGATTAAAGTCACAGTCAGGAGCACAGAGGTCCAGAGTGATGTGAGTAAGAATTCTCTTCATTCAAGTTTTTACCCCTCCCTCTTTTCCTTTGAGGTGACTGAACTTCTTTC